AACTCACTTCCACTTCTGCGTGGCGCTGCTGTCTCAGTCGATCTCAGGAGGAGGCTGCTTCATCAAGGCGCGCCTGTCACCACATGCTGACACGCTAGCAGAATCTGGCAGAACTTGACGTGGCTTGTCTGGACCGGGCGCCCAACTGCGTATGAGCGTTCATCATATCCTGCGTGCCAAGCAGGCAAAATGACATTGGGACAGACGCCGCCAAAACACTAATCATAAACAACAGCGACGGCTGTGCACAATAACAACCATGATGGTAATTTTCCATGTAGCAACACTGAAAATAAACTCATCCGCACCAAATGTCAACATCAAGACTTGTGCTTGGCTCCTGTATGTGTAGCTTAGCCGCCATGCCATCGACAATGCCCATGTCTTCAACTGACTCCGCTTCCTCAAGTTCTTGACACAAACTGCAGTGGGTCCAAGAAGGAAAGCTGAGAAACCTTGCGGTAGCTTCCATTTTCTTTTCCATTATCCTTATATAACCCCAATATACTATAGTTTCCATTTTCTTTTCCATTATCCCTATATATTCCCAAAATACTACAGTAGTTTCCATTTTCTTTTCCATTATCCCTATATAACCCCAATATACTATAGTAGTTTCCATTTTCTTTTCCATTCTCCCTATATTACACCAATATACTATACCAGGCAGCATCAGGCCCGCACCATTTCCAACAGATCCCGCGGCTCTGTTTTAGCCTGCTTGCGATTTGGACTATTGTCGGTATTGTGATAGTACTACTACCGCTACTGCTACTGCTACTGCTACTGCTACTGCTACTGCTACTGCTACTACCGCTACCGCTGCCGCTACTGCTACTGCTACTACCGCTACCGCTACCGCTACTGCTACTGCTACTGCTGCTACTACTACTACTACTACTACTACTCCTCCTGCTCCTCCTCCTCCTACTATCTTTGCTACCATTCTGAAAGATAAGATGTTGGATGTTTGGTGTTATTTGGGCTTGTGTCGTATTTCTTCGGGATCTTATGGAATGTTGCGTGGTGAGACACTTTTATGCTTTGAAGCTGGGCCATTGGGCAGCCCTTTGGTTTGGGGCCTGGGGCATAGACGAAAGATACAACTAGTAAGAATGTCCTGTGCCTTACAAGATATTATATGAGTCATAGTCTAAACTCCTAGCATCCCCCTTTAAAAACCCTATGATAGTCTCCCATGTAATCCCCTATATGACCCCCTTTAAGGAGTTCAGACTATGGCTTCTACGAAGGTACGCATGACCCGCGTAAGAATGGAGATAGTTGAGGTCTGCTCTGGCCATCCCAAATCCAGCCGTGCGCAGATTCTTGAAGGTTCGGAGAAATCGTGATCATCTATTGGGTATAGCCCCCCTTAAGTAGATGGAATATGGGGTATATGGGGATCTTCATATACTATATCCAAAGCCATATTCTATCTACTTAAGGGGGACTATATAATTCAGGAGGACCCCCCACCCTGTAATAGTGGTATAACAGGAGTATATGAGGACCTTAAAATGATCCTTTTTATCCCTTATAGTCATGATTACCGGGTGGGGGGTCCACCTAAGGTAGTTTCATGGAGCATGATACGGAAGAACATGGAACATTATTTGGAACCTGGGGTTATGTACATGGTTCGTACTGTACTTACAGACCAGATATACCGGTACTTATACACCCGTGCCCATTACCCAATTGTAACCATGTTCGGGGACTAGTGACTAGAAATATAATTAGTATTGGGGAATAGTCGCCGAAGTTCAAGTGCTCCCTACTGTAGTGCCGACCTGGATGGACAGGAGATGTTCATCTCTGCAGAAAATTGCCTGTTTTTGTTGAGGAAGCTCTAGTGCCTGCGTCTTTGGCTGCGTGTGGCCGGTGGTAGAAGTCATTGCGGAGAGGGATGTCGCGAAGGACTGCAGGGGCTCCATGGCTGTGCTACAGCGAATAAATGCGAATGAAGGACACCGGCAGCATCATCCCAACATTATGAGCAAATACCAGACTTTGGGTAGTCCCATGGCTTCAAACATGTCATGGAGGTGGTACTGTACGATTTCTTCTAGCAGGCCGTCCATACAATCACTGTACACTGAAGCCCAGGTCTTGCGGCAGACTGCTGGAACACATGAAGCAAGGGGCCAGACCCTTGACTTTCGCCTGCATGTTGGCTGCTTGGAAAATGGCGAAGGAAGATGGAAATGATGAAACATCAGCAACTCAAGCACTTGACAGACTCAACTGCCAATCACGTGGTTGGCATTCGCTCACTTTTCCGCAGATAATGTACTGCGTGTGCATTAACACCGTTGGCAATCGCCCATCTGGGCATTGCCTGCAACGGCGGGGCGCGGTCGAAGACCGGTGCAGGCAAAATGCTCGGGCATGCAAGCGGCTCACGTTCGAGAGCGCCGTTGTCTGCGTTAACAAGGTTTGGCCCCAGGTCCTGTCTGTGAAAACCACCATGCAAAGGGACCCTTGAAGGGACGTCATCACTCGCCCCACGCTGAAGCTCTGTGTCGAGACTGGCATCCAGATAATGTACTCGCACCTTTCTGCTGGTGTCATGAGAAGCATCGCTTGACGGCCTTGCTCTCGCACTCATGCCGGTGCTTGCTGAGGCACTGGGAGACCCACAGGGTGATACCCCCAAGCTGGAGCTCTCATCACCAACAACACTTATGACCTTTGGAGGTGGCAGCAAAGGAATCGTTTCCACCAACTCGTCTGGATGCGCCTGGTGGTCACAAGATGGCCCAGGAATCTGTGTCGCAGTTGCTGTCTGATGGCTGGCTTGTTGGCACACCAGCCGTGGCTCCTCCGTCACATGGCTAGCCACTCCAACCAAAGCCTGTTTCAGCTTCGATCCTGGCCTCCCCATAGCATCCGTCTGAATCGAAATTCCCAGGTCGTCAAGATCCAAGGTCGGTGCTGGTCCTTGCGACTGCATCCTGGATTCTGAAATCAGCTGCAACTGGCTGCATGCGTCCGCCCAGTTTTGCTTCTCAGCCCTTTCAGCATCCAAGTCAGCTCGCAGCTGTTCAGTTAGTCTGTGCTGGAGCTCCAGACGCATCTGTAGCTCTGCACAGGCCTCACTTCCCTTAACACTCTGCTCCAGCATATGTGACCGTTCGGCTTGGATCGCAAAATTTGCAGATCGGCTTTCTGTGAGCTGCTCCTTAGCTTCAGACAGCTGCCGCTGAACGTCTTGCAGCAGCTCAGTCCTTGCTGAGGTGTCCTGCGCCCACATGCAGCAGGGCAAGACGGTGACGCTTCAGAAGCCGGGTGAATAACAGTGCTACTGACATGTTGTGCACATTGTAAGTGACGCTGGTGGCGGCTCATTGGGGCCAACTTTAAGCCCTTCGCGCTACACGCTACACGCCACACGCCACACGCTACTTCATGGTGGGTACCGCTGCTTCAAAAAACCCTCGCACCCTCACATGAGCAAAAGCAGTTTGGAACGTCACGATCATGGCCGGGGTGGCGGTATGGTGTGTTATATCAGAGCATGTGAGGACTTACAGGATTCATGTGTTCTTCGGATTGCACGAGGTTTGCTCAACATCATTGTCCTTCTACAGGCTGTTCAGCACACAGCTTGCTTTGGTGGTATATGGTAGGTTCTCCTGAATAAGGGGACCCCAATGTAGACCCCCAAAATCCTGTAATCCTTGTTATGGGAACCCCAAAATCGTACCCCTCAGATTTCGGGATAACCACATTTTCCAATTGGGAACTGGCTTTGATAAATATCGAATTGAGTTTGTCCCAGGAATTAGGCCCCAAAGATATCGGTTTCACGGTAGGAGGGTCTGATTCCTAGGGCAGGCGACTGCACTCGAAAAATCCTTTCTAGTCGCTTGCACTTCTGATGACGTGACAGCATGCCCATGACATCACCCTACGCCCCGAACCAGTCCCAGACTCTATAAACCCGAAAGGTTCCCAAACCCAAAATGATTTAAGTCCCCCTTAAGTAGATAGAATATGGCTTTGGGTAAATTATAATAAGCTCACCATGTACACATATACCCCATATTCTATCTAAATAAGGGGGACCTCCTGCAGCTGATGGATGAGCCGGCAATGCTGCGACTCCAGCTGTTCGCATCGCGCCTGCGAGGCCTGGAGCTCCTGAAAGCTGAGCTTCTAAGAGATTAGGGCTACTTCTCAAAGATTAGAGCTTAGGGGTTAGGATTCAGGGAGTAGGATTCAGAAGTTCAGATTTAGGGATTAGGATTCGGGGTTAAGTTCATAGGTCGGGATTCCAGGATTAAAGGAGTGATTGATTAAGATTTGGGGATGACAATGTTCATGAGCTGGGGTTAAGGGACCAAGGTTCGTCAAAGGCACCGCAATCTCATCACGTCACTACGGAGCAAACAAAACTGTTTTACTGATAGGTAGGCCGATAGCAGCGGCAGCACGGATAAGCAGTAGTAGCCATCATACTTACCCCTAGCAGCAAGCAGGTCATGAAACGGGAACCGCAAGGTGAGTATAAAGCACCACACACCAAAAGAAGGATATAATCTTACTCTAGTACCATAGTACCCCCAATTAAAAATCCTACTCAGAGGGTATTTGCTTATCATCATCATCATCATCATCATCAGTACTCTTCGGGCAGAACCAATCGTGAAGGCCGACTCTCCTGACGCATGTCTCTCATCTTCCTTGGCTTTCACAAGGCAGAAGTTTCTCAGAAAACTGTAGTAGCACCTAGTAGTTTCCATTTTCTTTTCCATTGTCCCTATATAACCCCAATATACTATAGTAGTTTCCATTATCCCTGTAGTAGCAGCTAGGTCTGTTTCTTTTGAGAAGAATGGACTCGCCAAACCGCAGTCCCCGAAGTCAAGCCCAAATCACCGATTCTCTCAAGACTGAACGCCATTGGCACATTCCCACCTGTTTTACCATATTTTACCTTCATTGACGAAACAAGGAATGGCTCCATAATGCTCTGCGAACTGCTGTCAAGTGTCGACTCCGCCTGCCACTGCTCTTGCTGGCACAGTACTGCTCGTGCCTGCGAAGCTGCCAGTTCTTGGCGGAGGCAGTGGGTTGCGTCCTGCGTCGAGCGCTGGCCGGACCCGATGCTCTGCTGCGACTCGGCCTGGAGACATCACGGTCTTTAAGTGTAAGCGAAACAAAAAGCTTTCAGAGTCTGCGACTGGCATTTCAACGTGTTTCAACATCCCCATGTCTGTGCTGAAAGCTTTTTTGCAGCCTCGGCAGTCTGGAGCTCCTCCGTGACGAGCAGTAGCCGCTCCAGCAATTGGGCGTTCTCCCGCGCGTGGTTGCATGGTGTGCCCTGAGTTGCAAACCAAGAGCACGGCTGCAGCGGGATGCTGGCACTGCCACGGCAGCTGGACTCCACAGAAGGTGAACTATACTGGCACCGCTGTTGAAATAGGCTCTGCTTGAGCTCTTCACCCTGACACACGGCCATGATCATTTTGTCGTGAATATCTTGCAGGAGGTGCTCCGGCATGTGTTGCCGTTGCTCCTGATCCACGAGGTGACGGCTTTGGAGCCGAGACTCAGATTGCGCCAGCTCGCTCATGAGCTCAGCAACTCGGGCTTCCCACATCGCCTCAGCCTCTACGGCCTCTGTGGCCACAGCCCGGGAGGTGTGCCTTTCAATCTCAAGGCTATGCTCCAGGGACTGGGCTCTCTTCCAAGCTTGGTCTCGCTCTCGCTTCACCTCGCTGAGAGTACGCTCCTCCTCTGCCAGTTTGGTGGTAGGCTCCAAGTTGGGGACGCTGACATCTGGAAAACGCATGTCCACGTGCAACGGGGCTGAGTTTGTGGAGGAAGCTGGGGTACGCGCGGGACTCACGGGCCACATATCGGTCACAGCCATCCCATGAAACGGCCATTTGCATCCCTCACCCCATGCATCCCTCGCATGCCTCGCACTACTATCAATGCCACTTCAATCAACTAAGTATTAGCAAGCAAAACGGTTAAAACACTTGACTCACGTCATGTCAAATGGAAGAGTCGTTGGCTCGAACAGCTACATGTCAAAGCTTGCGGTAGGCGGGAAACCAGAGAGGTCGTTGTGGAACAGCTTGTGTGCTGACATGCGCGCAGCTGTGCAGAACCTCAGGAAGCTGCACCTTCCTTCTGTTCATAGGCGGTGCAAACTCTAAATAGCAGTGGATGGAAAAAGTCCTTGGCGAGACATTATTTGTGTTTCCCCATGTTGCTGCTACAGTCGTTCCGGCACGATAGCCGAATCGGGGATCAAAACGTCAAAGTTGTCATCAATCAGCCGAAATAAGGGAATGGCATGCCCTTTCCGCCAGAGCTCGATTTTCCCAAGGACGTAAACCGCCAGAAGAGGTCAAAGAGCGGCGGTGCAGCCCTGCTTTTTGCCTTAGACATGATACGGGCTCATGTTGAAAAAGAGCGGGGATTGGGTGCACGCAGCCCCCCCATTTGCCAACCATGGAGGAATGTGGCAGTTGTTGATGAGGACACACTCTTAGACATGATACGGCTTCATGCTGACAGACATTTGCAAACCATTGAGGAATGTGGCAATTGTTGATGAAAGTTCAAGACTAAACAATATATTCCTGGAAAATGATTAAGATGGTGGAATGTCTTCAGAATAATGAGAAGTTAAGAAATGTATAAAACCGTGACGAAACATAGGGCCACCCGAGAAAAATCTACTTAGAAACATGATGGGAAGTGTTGAAGAATGACGAAGCATGCTGAAACATGATGAATGATGATGGAATATGACGAAACATGATGACATATGATGAAATATGGCAAGAAATGCTTGAAAATGAAAGATGATGAAAGCCTGTGAACATCATGAGAATGATGAGAATGATGAAAAACGATCGATTGAGGATGAAAAGTGATGGCATGTGGAAAATCAAGGCGAAGATTGGGCTATTTTACAGGAACCGCTGTGTCGGGAACATGGGGCAACACTGGACGCAAATGCTTCGCCAAGGACTTCCTCCATCCACCACTACTGAGAGCTTGCAATGCCAACGACAGAAAAACAAGCTGCGCTGTGGCATGATCCATGGTCACAAAAGCTCCGAACTGCAAAAAGCTAAGTGGTTCTCTACTGTGATGTAGTAGCTTCCATTTTCTTTTCCATCATCCCTATAACCCCAATATATTCCCTTGATTACTAACCCACTTATAGGGCTCTTTGGCAAAAAAGGTGAGATATGTCAATGCGAGTCGTAGAACGTGGCAGGCCATGGCTTGCCTTGGTCATAGGGCCTGGTCATATGAGCTATAGTCTGAACTCCTTAAAAGGGATTATATAGGGGACTTGTTCTAGGGGGTTTTAAGAGAGATACTAGGAGTTTAGACCATAGCACATATCCTTTTTGTGTCGCAGGGCACGGGCAGCTTGCTGCGTTTCCTCCGCCCTCTGTACACGTCTCGGGCAATTGCGCATGCAGACATGCGGCAGCTGAGATAAGAATACAGCGTGCAAGCGCCATGGTAAGGATCTATTCTGGCTAACTCTCATCCTGGCCTTCAGCTGCTGTGGTCCACTGCCCTAAAGGGTCACCTCGCTGGCGACACCAGCCCAGCACAGCCTGAATCTCTCAAGGTCATGTTTGGGACAGCAAGGAATTTCTGCATGGTACGTCGCTGGCTAGCCCAAGAGTGAAGACTCGCACCCTGATTCTGCAGCCCTCTTTTTCGTGAACTGGGGTAGCTAAATCATCTGCGCTGTTGATGGAGATCCTGTAGCTTTAGCCTTTTCATAAAACACGGCTGTCTTCTTAAGTGCAGATCACAGCTATCACTGGGCCGCTGGCATCTTGCCAGCCGGGCAGAGGGCAGCTCACCAAAGGCCATGATCAACTTCCAGTCCAAGCACCGTGTCTGAGTTGACCAGGACAACCCTGGCCTAAGGCCTGGCACAGCACCGGACTAAACCCGTTTTGAGTACAGCCAACTTCTGGGTAGCGGGGCAGTGGTTGCAGGAGTAGTTGTTCTGTTGGTGGCGGGGGGATCGCGGCGGCGGCGGGCAGCAGCAGAAGCAGCAGCATCATCAGCCCTAGGACTGCTACTGGATGAAAACTGCTGAGATACGAGGAGCTTTCAGCATGAAAGGTTTTGCAATTGCTTGACGTTAAGTGGGATTCTGTAGACCTTGTCCTTGTCAACTGTCCGAATCCCCACAAATGCATCTAATACTGCCCATAATACTGGTACCGGGTAGAATCGTAGTGTCCTCAAAGCATGCGCATTCAAAAAGGATCTCATTGCAAGAAAAACTTTAAAAGCAGACGAAGAAAGACACAACGCAATCAGAACAGCACCGTAGATGAGATGGAGGAAATTTGGCACGCAGCTCTATGGGAACCAGAATACTTTAGGCTTTAGGGATCTCAAGCACAGCAGTGCCACTATACTTGCAGCTTCTATTCAATGTTCAATGGTCTTTCCCATTTGATTCTCCCTTTTTACTATCTATTCCCCCTACCCATACATAGCACTTTATATCCTGCTGTATAGCCGTGTAACAGCTATATCGACACGGCCTCTCGAAACTCACTGCTCAAGGTTGGAGGTGCCAGCTCCTCAACTCATTCAGGTACTAACAAATGAAGTGGCCGGGCTTTTTCGGACCGCCCCTAAACCCTAAAACCCTAAAACCCTAACCCCTCTACCCTAAACAATTATAAACATAAGCCGGGAACCTGAAGGAGTTTTAGGGACTCTTACGGGGTCTGTGGGAGTTTTACACTGACTCTGACCGTTTCCCTTGGAGCCATCTTTTGAGGTAAGCAAGAGCCGTCTCGTGCCGGAACCGGGGCTCAACTTACTGGAAGGCTAGTGGGGAACAGGGGGAAATTTTCTCTATAGGGATTCTATTCCCTCATTCCCTTCTGACAACCAGTAAGTCAAGGGGTCAACTAAGGGCTGACTAGAGGAAGGGAGCTTCCAATGGGGGGAGTTCGAATAATGGGTACAAAAGATAGGGCCCAGGCTATGACAGGCCTCCGTAGGGCAAGGCCGGCACAATCCGGTACCTGCCTGCTGCCCTAGCAAGCATTCTACGTGTTTCCGGCATGTTGTGGGTGATTGGGTCGAGATGGACAAGGGCAAGGGGAATAAAAATGCCGCATTAATCTTTATTACAGACGCCTGAAACAGCACCATCAGCAGCAGTAGTCCGTAACTGCTTTCGGACTGTGACTGCTATCATTACCACCACCACCTCATCATAATATTACTAACAACATGACCACAAGCTTGATAAGTTTGATAATCAGAGACCCCAACTGGCCCCTACGTGTCCTTGTCGTGATCAAGCCGCCTCGGCCTCGTTGAGAGAGCTAGGACAACTCAGAAGCACCCCTGGATTGACTAAGGAGCTGGGGAACCACTTCTACCGTACGTCCAAAGCCTTACCACAGGGCTCCTATGAAATGAGTTCTGACAGCAAGGTCGCCCAACAGTACAGGCAGCGGTGTCACGTATGACTCACGTGCCGGAAAATTCAATTCAGTTGCAAGGATGGGAAACATGATTGTAAAGGTCACTCGAGGGATCATGGGACAATCAACAGAAGGTACTTTTTGCTGGGCCATCTTCCCTACACTACCTGCATTGAAGTGCCCGGTTCACCACCACAGTACTGTACCAAATGAGGGGGGACGGAGGAGTACAAAGGACCATGCGTGACTCCAGAACAAGCCCGGCACCCCGTAGCCGAGGTGACCTCGAAGACTTCCGCAGTTGCCGTCGGCGTTGACCAAGCATCACCGCCTCTATGTGGAAAGGGGGGATTAGGAGTGAAACCCCAAGTAGAAAACATGAAAACTCATTTACATAAAAAAAGCCTTTACAGCAAACGCATGTATGTGTCGGTTTTTTGCCTAAGCTGTACCTGGCAAGTCAGCCTACGCCCCAAGTTGCCACTGACGTTCATATCAGTTTTGTCGAAGTAATGACTGCAAATTCATGAGAAGAGCGCAGCTCTACTCTCAGACTACGCCTCAATTGACGCGGGTTCTATTGGGATAATGGAAAAGAAGATTGAATTTAACAGGGATTAAAGGGATTATATAGGGACTATATAGGGTTTATGTCGGGATTATAGGACGTATTGCCCTACATGTCCCTTTATACCCGTATGTACGCCTAGATACCCCTAGATCACCCTATATAACCATATATATATATATATGATTCCAGCTGTCACACTCATTCACTGAAGCCTTGGCATTCCTCGTGGGCGCTCTTCGACAAGGTGCTTTCAGGCAAAACCTGCACAGGGAATGAGAAAGGACACCGTAAACACTCAGGTTGAGGGCTTAGGTTTTTTTTTTTTTACGACAGTCATGCGCTTCCAACGCTACGTAGTCGAGAAGATGGAGAACTTAAAGGGTGGCACGTAGGCGCACCAGCCGATCAGGGAAAGTTGAGGAGTAGCCGGGGTACTAGCTTCAATCCTACTAGATCCTGATGCCGATCCGGGTTAGAGCTGACCTCAGGGATATAGAACCCCATGACATGCTGGGAAACTAAAAAGACCGCCAATTCGGTGGAGGGTGGCCACGTTTATAGCTTGTTTTTTGGCATCCCTTCTCCATCTTTATAGGCTGGGGCAAACATCGCATGATGCTGAGGCTCCATGTGGTCAAGCTGTATTGATTGGAGGGGTTTAGGGGTTTGGGGCTTCTAATTTGTGAGCCCTGTCCAGCTTGCTCACATTCAACTCGGCAGGCCAACATCTTTCAAGATCCCATCCCCTCCTTCATGGCCTACAAGGAACTACAGAAACCATGCAATGTTTAGGACATCCTGTGCGACCCCTCCTCGTTTTAGAAGTCATACGCTCTCCGGTATTCACTGATGAGA